ACAAAGAAAATTTGTGAATTCAACAAAACGCAAATTGAATTCTATGGATATGTATTCAGTTCAGAGGGAATTTCCGCAGACCCGAGAAAAGTCGATGCGATAAAGACCTCTCAGATTCCGTCAAATGCAAGTGAAGTCCAAAGCTTCTTAGGGATGACAAACTATGTAGGAAGATTTATTCCAAACTATTCAACAATTACTGAGCCATTACGAGAGCTAACCAAGCAAAATGTGAAGTTTGAGTGGCAACCTAATCAACAAAAAGCATCCGACATATTGAAACATGAACTTACAAGTGACAAAGTTATGGCATATTTTGATCCGTCAAAAGAAACAACAATGATTGTTGATGCAAGTCCCGTAGGACTTGGTGCGTTATTAACCCAAGAAGGCAAAGTCATATCGTACGGAAGTCGTGCGTTGAATGATGTGGAAACTCGATACTCACAAACTGAGCGCGAGGCACTGGCAGTTGTTGGGGGATGTGAACATTTTCATCTGTATTTGTTTGGTCAAGATTTCAAAGTCATTAGCGACCACAAGCCATTGGAAGCGATTTTTAATCATCCGCACTCAAAGCCTCCCGCGAGAATAGAGAGATGGCGATTAAAACTGCAACCATATCATTTTAGACTACAGTACCTCCAGGGAAAACAAATGCGGCAGATTACATGTCCAGGCATCCGTCTAAGTCAACAAAGATCAACAGTCTGTCAGACATCGCCGAGGAATACGTTAATTACGTAACAGAGAATGCCGTACCAAAAACTTTGACCTTAGCCGAAATCAGCGATGAAACCCAAAAAGACCCTATCCTTCAACATGTAATTGAAGCAATCCTTTCCGAGAAAAAGATTCCAGAATTTAAAGATCTTGATAAAACAATTGAAACTTTTAGACGAAGGCAAAATGAACTGACTTTGCACCGTGACGGAAACCACAGCGTTTTACTCATCGAAAACAGGTTGGTCATTCCGAGATCATTACAACAAACAGTGATCAGATTAGCGCATGAAGGTCATCAGGGGATAGTCTGAACTAAACAGCTACTAAGAGAAAAGGTTTGGTTTGTCAATATAGATAAGCAAGTAGAAGAATTTTGAAAAGGATGCGTTCCCTGTCAAGCATCAGTACACACCGTTGAAGATGTCACCCCTACCCAAACGACCGTGGTCTGAGGTCAGCATGGATTTCTGTGGACCATTTCCGTCCGGATCCTACTTAATGGTCGTTGTTGATGATTATTTGAGGTACCCTGTAGTCGAAATTCTATCAAAATTAACAGCAAAGGCAGTGATACCGAAACTAGACAACGTTTTCGCCTTATTTGGAATTCCTGATGTAGTGAAAACCGACAATGGACCTCCGTTTAACGGATCGCTCTTCAAGGAGTTTGCAAAACATCTAGGATTTCAGCATAGGAAAATAACACCGTTATGGCCACAAGCTAATGGAGAGGCGGAAGTTTCAGTGTTCTTTTACCTCTCTCTCACAACATTACAGTTTCGTAAAGCGTTGGTCGTGATTAGTAAACTTTCAGTTTACTGGTTAAGATAGTTGAATTGTGGAGCGGGGTCGTATAGATACTTAGATACCTAGTGAGAGTTACTCATCAATTCTAAATTTACTAATCTTATCTAGTAAATATACCAATACCTGGTAAAACTACTATTAAGGTAGTGAATCTACTAGTTTTCTTCGTGACATTAACTAGTTATTTTTTTACAGAGTAATTTATTTATGAATGAAATTTGTATTATGATTTGTAATGAAGTTGACTCTTTTCCTGAATAAACATAATAATAATAATTCCTTTTGTATTTGCAGAAAATTGTCTTGTTCAACATTATCCACACATAGTATGATTCATTCAATCATTAGAAACTAATGAGATTTTTATTTAATGGAAGAGGATTCAGATATCAGGTAAACCTCTACTGGGTCCATAAGATCTTCGTCCTCTTCTCCCCCTATCATGTTTGAAGTCGTGGGTTTACCATCGGTAATCAGTACTAGCTTAGCTCTTACTTGGAACATTCCTATCCCTGTATTATATCCTGAAAAAATAATAATTAAAACTCTATACAGGGAAATTTTCGTCCCCGTTTTATCTTGCCCCTTTCGCCCTTGTCACGAGTGGGCGAATTTAAAACGAGGCGAATTCACAGAATAAATTCTTAAAGAGAACTGGGACTTGGCGAATTTAAAGCGGGGCCAATTTGTAAACCAAGTGTAAAAGGGCGTAAATAACATGGAACAAAAATAACCCCGTATACAGTAACTGATTACAATTTGTGACCATCTGTTTTCTTAACTGGAGCTTCATTTAGGAAACTTTATTCACAAGTAGATCCCACCTTTAATATCAAAAACAGAAACCTTTGCTTACCTCCACCAAAAGCCAACCCCGACAGACAGAGAGTAATGGCCGCCTGAATGGGAGAGGCACCCCGACAGACCACGTCATCTAGCAACGTCAAGCATTGTTTAATAAATAAATAAAAATCATGCAATTAGTCAAGTTTTTATCGACCCAAATTTACGAAATTGAGAAGAAAAGAAATAAATTAGAGGCAATGGCATTGTTTACCTAGACATCTTTTCAGCGATTGGTAATTATTGGAGTAATAATGACGAAACTTGACTTCCTCTCCAAAAGTAACGACGGCAACAGTTTCATCCATGCTGTTTTTGGCGTATTCTTTGTAAAGAAAAGTTAAAATGTTCAGTCTGTATATTTTCAAGATTTATATTTATTTGAAATTCTGTGCTTTTATGATTGATTTTGAAGCTTTACCGTCTATGATGTCAATGAAAGCCGTCTTCATCTGATGGAAGGCTTCCCCGGCCATACTTCCTGACGTATCTAAAGCAAACATCACACATGGCCCCTCTCCTTGCTGGTGTTTTAATTTCGCATCTAAAATAATTGTATGTTAAGAGACATTAAGTTTACTTATTATAAACTGTTCATGAGACATCTTAATGTCAATTTGAAGACCATAGCACATGTTGCTGTTTTTTTCTTCTAAAATCAATTAAAAATAATTGAATTAATTCTGCTTTATAAAAATATAAACACAGGTCGGCTTGTAAAGGAGCATAACGAAGGATGATCATCGAAATTTTAACTTGTGTCTTACATTTTGTAAGTGAGGAATCCCTGTATCCTTTTCAAATATCAATATCAAAGAACTTGTCTGTTTTATTTCGTAATTTTGTTCATGACCAATCGAAAATTACGAAAATGTCAGAATTCAGTTTTCTTAAAGAAGCATTTGTCTAGAATATCTAGCCTTTTTTTAATTTACCGTGAGGAATGATTATATATGATGTAAAAAAGTACGTTTTGATGTTATAAACTTTTGATACTCTTTGCTATTTTTTTATTTTCCTAAAAAGTTCTTCGGAATTTTTAGAAACTCCATATTTTATTCCCATTACTTCTAGAAAATGGTGAAGCACATAATGTCTAATGTTTCCTCTTACAGCAGTTTATATACTATGAGTAGTTAAAATAAGGGCTTTGTAGAACATTTACTAGAACCGGCAACGTATGTCTTTTGAAAGAATTTTAATGAAGTCTCGGAATCCAGTATAGTAGGATAGATTAAACTTACCTCGTTTATTTGGAATATCAAAAGTACTAATAGTAATCACTAAATCGTGATTTCAAAGAATTTCATTTTTAGAAAGTGAACTGTGGGCATAAATTTGATTCCTAGACGAATGCTGACTGACGTTTCTCAAACTAACTGTTAATCCATTGTTTATACATGAACACTGAATTGACGACGGATTTTTCTGTTTTTTCCTGATCATGATAAGGAGCACACGACGGATGTGACCAGTCGGCAGGGGATACTCATTCCTCAATGGCATCTGGTCCCACCTCTGATGTTTTGGAGGTCTGTGTTTGTTATGCTCCTATTTTGTATAGTTTTATGGACTTCTGGTCTTGAATACTGTTCGTTATCTCCATATGTTTCATACAGATATAGTAAAAAAAGCATATGGTTCGTGTAGTATTTTTTTTTAATTCTTGTATCTCCTCCGATTTAATGAAAACAGAATGATAAGTTATTCGATTATTGCATTTGAAATCTCATGCACAATCCTTAAAGAAAGTGATGCAAACAATGTCTTGAACTATGTTTTTTATGTTTTCAAAAAAAAAATGTTTTCTTTAAGTTGGAATAAATTGAATTCATTTTGAATTATATTTCTTTGTAATGTTTCAGACTGTGTTATAATAGACGTCACGAAAAAAAAACGAACGCACAACCTGCCTTTTTATAGTTCAAAACCAACAGAAACACTGACTGCTCAATGTTACTTAGTCATATGGAGACGATCGAGAATACTTACTTTCCACAGCTTCTTCGTGGGCACGATTTACCCAGTAATTGTCATCAACAAATTTAGCCATAGCTGAAATACTTCTCGCACAAATCTTCAAACACAGAAGTTTTCTTTGTTTACTGCAGTATCTCAAAAGAGAATCAATGCCTTTACTTCCTCGTCATTCCTATCAACTTTTATTGTAATGGAATTCTTCCTGTAAATCTATTATTGCAGTTCCCAAATTAGTATTAATTCAGTGAAATTTACATGCAGGATGGATTAATAAAAATCCCAATATTTTAGTTGAATCCACTCCAAAATGAAAATAAAGTATGAAAATAATATATTATTAAAATAGTTATTAATAATCTTGAGGTTCCTTTACGTGAATTTCAAAATGGATTTATAAAATAAGAATAATGGAAATAAGTTTAAGTTGTTATTAAGTTTATAGTAAGTAAATCGTCCAGGTAGGAAGGAGATGTTACTTGTCTTTAATAATTTCTAGTTAGTGGGTTAATATCTAGCCGATATATGAAATATATAGTATTCAAATTAAAAAGTCCATCCAAACAATACCATTCGGGAGCAGAGCAAATACGGACCTCTAATTCATCAAAGGTGGGATCAGGTGCATGGAATAGTGAGCATCCCCTGCCGACCGGTCACATCTATCTTGTTCTCTTAAATGATCGGGAATGGAAAATTCAAATTCAATGTGCCCTACAATAAGTATTAAAAAATACCCGTCAATGGTGATTTGTATTATCTGACAATGTCATGTTGTATTGATCATGGAACTTGCAAATGAAAATAATTTTTTTATGATTATTGAAAGGAAATAGATTAATCAAAATAGAAAATTGATAGCACATTTAAAAACTATTTTTCTCACGTTAAATTATTCTGCATAAATCTTAATTCATATAAAAACTTCTGCTAGTAAAGGGACACAGTGTATGATCGTCAAATTTCCCTTTCAATTTGTTTATAAAGTATTTTTAAAAATACCCTGAATATATATTCAAAATCACGTACATTTTAAGGAAGAATTCAAATTCTATAGCATCCGTATATTTTTTTCATTGCTTTCAAAGGAAGATTTAACAGGTTTATTACATCATTAAGCCAGTAAAATTAACGAAAAAGACGAAATAAAAGTAGTAATAGTCTGACATACTTATTACCTAGCTAGTTCTAGAGAGATCCATTCTTAATCAGTCTCAGGAAGTTTGTCAAGCACCCTCTATCATTTTAAAGTAGGAGATATGGAGTTGCCTAGTTGTTCTCATACAGGTTAGTGATAGTTGAATTATGATAAAAGCATCTCAAAAAATAAATAGTACTAAAACACTAATGTAAATCAGAACCTTAAGCGTCATTTTAATATGAACTTCGGAGTACTAATGTCTAGAATGATCTTTTATTAACAAAACAATAATGCAAATGATCATTGACAAGGTAAATGAATTTTAATTGTAGAAAGTTATATGTTTTAAGGTTACTGATTTTGATAGAAACTAAGTATCTAAATGATAGATAAGGAGATAACGAACAGTATTCAAGATCAAAAGTCCATAAAACAATAAAAAATATTTGCAGAGCAAACACAGACCTCCGAAACATCAGAGGTGGGATCAGGTGCCATGGAGGAGTGGGCATCCCATGCCGACCGGTCACACCCGCCGTGTGCTCCTTGTCATGATCGGGAAATAACGGAAAAATTCGTCGTCAATTAAGTTTTTAAGAGATGGCGTTAACAATTAGTATGAAAAACTTCAGTCAGCATTTGACTCAAATCTAAATAGTATATTTACTGACAAGGTCATTATATCGAACATAGAACTTACGAAATGATGATTTTAAACGAGGCTGCCAATATTCTTGTGTCATCAAGTTGTTTGTCAATAATTTATCTATATTTTAGAAATTGTTCAAACGTAGAGCTTTCTCTTGCGTATCGAATCAACTGAGAGATATAAACGCCGTATGCAGGTGATGAAGGTACATGTATATTGCTGCATTAGTAAGGCAAGTTGACGATAGTAAAGTTAAAGCACCACTTTTATCATATAGCTTGGTTGTTAGATTACCATTAACGTCCTTTCGAGTAAAATATCCTCCAAGTATGAAACAGATGTGTAAGACTCTATGGTATCTTTTATCTCAAGCTCACCAGAAAATATCTTATCGACATAGGAATGGAAATTACTCATTGTTAATGAACAATACGTAGTCGACATATCTAAATGTAGAGTTGAAGGCAACAAGAAGTATTTTCTTCTTTTCACGCCTAAGATTTTGCACAAAATCTGCTTCATATGAATACGAAAATAGGTCTGCTAATAACGGAGCGCAATTGGTACCCATGAGAATTCCAATAGATTGTTAGAAGATATGGTCTCCAAAAACCACATAGATATTGTCAATCAGAAACTCAAGCATCTTTTTAATGCCAACTTCAGAGTACTTGTATGTGCAATCAAAATGTTAAGAAAAATAATTTCTCAAATGAACAATGACCAGGTAAGTAAATTTACGAGTTCAATTTTTATTGAAAAATCAGCTGTCAATGATATCAAAAAGCCTAGACTTTAATCTATCGTCGGGAGTGCTTGTGTATAAAATTGAAAAGTCGTAAGTTATAAAGCTGTTGATTTTGGTAAAATCTTGTGATTTCAAATAGCCCAAAGGTTTTTTGGAATTTTTGAGTATCCACATCAGATTAACACCACTTCTTAAATTATTGTTGCACATTTGATTTGCACCACCTTCCCAAAGTGTTGTGGTACCGTACAGAGTGATTTATTGTATGTTGTTTTACATCCTATTGGAGAATCTTACACTCATAAGGAGGCGTCACCGCCTTCAAATCGACATTCAGACACATCGACGACCCGTCATCAATCTTTAAAAGTTTTTTTTCAATCATATGGCAAATTGAGTGGACTTGAAAATACAACACCTATGTGTCTGCAACATTTATGCTGTATATGGGTATTTTAATGACTAGGAACGATAAGGACAGATGTGAGAGGAGATTTGGATATTAGCCTTTATAGCGAGAAATTAACACAGTAGTTTTCCCCGTATATGCTATTGCTTGAATGACATCACAGACTTCTCTTGTAAGTTTGTTTACCACATAGAAAGTTTTGAGAATCTTCTGTGAAATAAAAGAAAATAGATTTGTCTTAACTTTGATAAGGAGTAACACATTCAATATCCTAAATGTAAGAGAATAGACTAAAAAAAATGCACCCCTTTTCCTGAAAAGCAAATAAACTGTGCCCAAGAACATGAAATAATGCTTCCTCCTTTCGGTACTCGTAGTTCTTTGATTACCATTTATAAATTTATGATCTTTAAAAGAGTATTTTTTATTTAATTATTTCAACATCCTTCCTGTATTTTTGTGCCAATTTTATCAAATAATCCAAAAATTTCCTGTTTGTTGGTGTTTAGATTTCCACTATATAACACCAAAACAAAACAGGTTTGTGATTTTGCTTTGGATTCTGATATTTCACTCCTGCCGATCTTAGTAAAAGTATCATAGAATTTCTTTCAGGACATGGACACTAGTATGCATGACGCTTTGCTGCTCTCGGAGACGGAGATAGAAGCTGAAACACGTGCGTCAGTTGAATACTAGTATTTTTATAAACTCCTATGCTTTCAATATAATTATTCATATTTTTAAACTGCTTATATATAGTAATGAAATTATCGTTTTTTTCTAAAGAAAATAACATCAATACGTGCACTTAATACAGACATTTTAAATTAAAAATAAGGCTTTATCAAGTCTGCTTCTTCGATGTAGTAGCAATTGCTTCTTCAATAAAAAAGGGAAATCTGTGATTTTAAAAATTTAAAAGATTAAAAAATCAATCTGATTCTACAAAATAGTATTCTGTAAAAAAAAAAAAAGGGGGTGTTGAACTTGCGCATTGACAACATTTATGTAGTTTTCGGTGACCCAAATTGTGCTCTTTATTTACTAACCTGTTTAATTAGATAGGCAGAGTGCATTTTTTGTTTTAGTTTTGTCGTATGTTGCATTAGCTTGGTTTCCCTACAGTTTGTACCTTCTAGAAATATGTTGTTATTTTTTTTTTATTTTGCATTGGAGTTACTGTGTTATTGTTATTCCCTTTTTATTTTTTAATTCCAAATCTAACCAAAAGATTTAAATTTCATTTGTGATGTTTATGGTCGTATAACCTTTTGTGTAGATAACGAAAGGCCTATTACAACTTCACAGCCAGGAACACAGGTAAAATATTTCTTATATTTGTTACTCAACATTTTATAATATTAAAGTCACTGAATGAAATTCAAAATGACCTTTAATATTTGTTTAAAGCACATCAATGAACGTTTTGAAATAGAAGCAAATAAGCTTTTTTCAAATTTATCGCATTTACTTTTTTTTAATCTGCATGTATGATACCTTATATGAAGAGAGAGAGCAAAAATGAGACTTTGCACCAAAAATCAATGTGTAATATAATGAAGTGGATCGTGGATATTGGTCTGGATAACTCAGAGGACCGGACAAGTGGTACAGGATGGTGAACTAACCATGTTTTCTCCTTTAATGTTAATTATACATTATTTACTGCCGTTGATTACCCCTGGGCTTGCAGGCAAACGTCTTGCCAGGGGAATTAAAACTTGGATCGTATCTTCAAGGGAGAATACATTTCAGATATACTATTTAGGCGGTAGAATTCAGTGGTAGAGCACCTGATTAGTGATGCAGAGGTCCCGGGTTCGATTCCAGCTCCAGACATACATTTTCTCATTTCATGATACATATGTATTCAATTCTGCCCTTCCAAATGAGAAAGCATTTGATAGAATTGAAATAAGATTTTCCATTAATATATTTTACAAATTGACCCGTCTTTCAGTTTTCTCCCACTCCCATTGTTGAACAGACAGACCGCAAGGAGACTGCTGATTTGGCCTGGATGTTTGGAATCCTCAGCTGCTTTTGCTGCAATATATTATTAGGAATCGGCGCCATTTACTTTGCAAACGAGGTAAAACTGAAGAGAGTCAAGTTTTGTGAAAAGTGGAGGAGCATCCCATTGCATAGAGTATACTAGTAAAAATATACTGAAACGAAAAAGAAACGTATAAGAACATAATATGCGTAAAAGGTTTCCAACCAACCATGACGGTGACGTTGGCGCGTAACAACGTCACATCAAGATAGAAGTTTTCATAAGATCATCATGCCACCTCGGTTATTGTCAAGGCATTATCACAGAAACCGATATTTATATGTGTAGAGAATCATACTCATTTTTTCACTCTTAACATTTCCCTCCCCCCCCCCCGAGCGTGGCAACTTTAAGTCCATTATTACACTCACACGCGCACGTACGCGTCGTATGCGGAATGTTTTAAGCATGTACACACTTGGAAAATGTAGCTAGTGTGTGTCGAGACTTTCTTACAAACATTCACGAGTACCAAACCAGCTGGATTCGAATTCGAATAAGTGATATCACTTTGCAGTACAGTTAAGGTGCGCAATGGATATATCAACAAATTTAAAATAATAAATTAGCAAATCATCCCATTTTGTGGTATTTTAATGAATTGCTGGTTTTGTATGATGACATAGTTAAGTTTTCCTGTTTAAATTAGACTCCCCCCCCCCTTGTTACTTTGGCCGTGCTGTGTTTTTCGAATTCGTGATATCACTAATTCAAATAAAAAAGGAGATATCACCTATTTGAATTTTCACTAATGCAAGAATCCAAGTCAAACTCCAAAGGCCAAGATCAAACTCTGAGGTCAAGGTAAAAAATATTTATACCCACTGAGAGGTCTTATTACAATGAATACACATGTTTGAAGTATGAAAGCCCTTGCTCAAACTGTTCAAAAGTTATAGCCAAGGTGAAAGTGTTGCATTTTTTGTAAAAGTAGGTCAAACTCTAAGGTCAAGGTCAAGAGGTAAATTTGGTAGTAACCGAGGAGATGTCGTGTTACAAGGTATACACATGTGAAATATGGAAGCCATAACCCAATCCAGTCACAAAAGTAATGAACAAGGTTAAAATTTTGTGGACGAACAGACAATTAGCTAGACAAAGGCACCGACAAATAGACGGACGGACAGGACTTCGTTCAGGGGCGCATAAAACAAGCTTTCGTTGCCGATAGATTTCTCGCAGCGCCACCCTATATGAATGGAAGTGAGATACACTTATTAGGTCAGTTTGATTTAAGAATCGTTACCGACATACATATTGCATTTAGACGCAATGAAATTAAAGTTATTTATGAAGCTCATTTTACAACCAACAAATCTTAAACTAACATCAATGCACTATATACGCTAAATATATATATTTATAGAGGTTTTTATTATCATATTTATTCCGTTTGATGTTGCAAGTGTCCACGCATGTATTCATTTTATCATAATACATTTAAAAAACGATAGCATTGTTCTTTCGCCTACCTACAAGTCAATTTTCAAAAGTTAACATATTCGATGAATTTTTAATATGTTTTATAGATACATCTGTACTTATGTGGATTCTCATAAAACATTACTTATTTTGGAAAACAAAGAGAGATAACTCTAAGATTTTGGTAAAACTTGAGTTTTTCACTATAGAAATCAACGGAAAACAGAAAACGGAAAACATTTTTACCCCCCACCCCCTGTCACACAAAAATTCCTTCTTACAAGTAAAATGGTAATATGGACTGTTTTTACCACAAATACATACCAAATTAAAGCTTTTTGCGTGTCACGGGGGTGGGGTGGGGGGGGGGGCATATATATGTTTAATGACAAAAAAACTGCTTATTTTCCACCAATTTCAAAGCGATTTAAAAACATTATATTTTATTAATATATTTATGTTTTATTTATTTGCCCAAATTATAATAAAAGACTTAAGAAATATTTCATCATATCTGAGACTATTTCAAAATATTGTGATGCCTAAAAGTCCAATTTCAATGGAAAATATCTTCTACCCCCACTTTTTTTCATTAGCTGGAGTTGTGGATAATTTACAATTTAGTGCTGGTATTAAGACAGTTCATTAATTTCCGTTAACTGTTCTTGTATAAAACAAAGAATTTATGGCAAAATTGCCATTTATATTGAATTAAATGATTGCAAAATGTAGGCGGGAATCGAGCGTATTTCGTTCATTATTTTAAAATTAAAATTAAAACTACACATATTGGACTGATATGCTTCTTTTCTTTAATTGCAGGCAACCAATTTTTTCAATGAAAGGAAGATCGTCAGTGGAATTTCTCTTCGGAAATGGTCGTACTTCTTCAGTTTTCTCGCCTTTTTGACGGGAGTAGGAACTATTGTCTTTGTGGTGATACATTTTGTACTGTAGCTGGTGTCATAAGACAAGAAATGCCCGAAAGTTTGTCTCTAGACTCTTCATTCTACCTGGTAATTAAGAATCGACAACAGATCCATATAGCCTGCATAAAATATATTCATACATTAAATTGATCAACAATGTACAGAAGAAGAGACGGTCAATATGCCTACTGTTTAATTTAATGTTTACTGTTCAGAATTTGATAAATCTGTTCATGAAGTTACAAAACAGAAAATTATGACTTTTAATGTGTGACGTTTTGTTTTTCTGTCAAATTTGCCTTGGCCATACCCCTCCTCCCTGTAAAAAATAACTTAAGTTAAAGTCACTGAAAAGACTAGTAAATTTACTGCCGATACAATCACTACCTTAAAAGTAGTTTTCCTAGGTTTTTGTATATATTTACTAGATAAGATTAGTAAATTTATAAGTTACTTTCACTAAATTATCTGGTATCAAAACGACCACCACTTCACGAGACACCTACCACTCACTATATCAGCTAGTAAACAGAAATATTACTAATCACGACAAGCGCTTTACGAGACACGCTAGTTAGAATCATTAGCTTTCACTTTCAGTTTTCGGAAAATTTCTAATTGGCGTTTTTTCAATCTTCCAAATTAACATTATTCCTGAAATATAGCAAGAAAATACAGCATACATATTGCGATATAGTTATAAATAATCTTAAAGTTCCTTGTATATATGAATTTCAAACTCGATTTATAAAATAAGAGTAATATACTAGTTAATAAGTTTAAGTCGTTAGTTGGCCCTTAAAGTTTATAGTAAGTAAATCCTCCAGGTTTGAAGGCGATATCATATAACTTGTCGATATTGAGATTTATTACTACGTATTGTTAATAAAGAATAGGTAATTTCCATTCTTATGTAGACACGATATATCCCGGTGAGCTTGAGATAAAAGATACTACAGAGTCTGACACATCTGTTTCATATTTAGATATTTTATTTGAAAAAGACATTAATGGTAATCTAACAACTAAGATCTATGATAAACGTGATGACTGTAACTTTTCAATCGTCAACTTCCCTTACTTATGCAGCAAGATACCCTCATCATCTGCATGAGTTTATATATCTCAGTTGATTCGGTACGCAAGAGCATGCTCTTGAAACGGAAACTGGTTTCGTGATTTAGTTTCGTTTTAACGTTTTACCTACGTTCTTATGTAAATTCTTAAACACTAAAAAATATTAATTCTCAGATCATACAAGTAGTATGAAACTACCTGTGTACGGGGGTTGCACTGAGGTAATACATGTATGTTGTGTTACGGGAACTCAGGGGAGCTCTCTGGTGACAGAGTGGATAATCAATAGTTTGTTTCTTCTCTTGCATACGGTCGTAAGACCTGAATAAGGCAGACGGATGCAGGGGATGAACAGCTAAGTGTTTCACAGTACACCAAAGCACGTTGGACCTGAATAAGGCAGTCACTTGGTTGTAGAGAGAGGTGGCATACCACAATTAGAGGTGGGGAAGTGCCAAGATGCAGCAGTAATAGTGGAGAGGCAGGGCAAGAAGAAAATTACTTGCGGGAGACACCCGTTGACCACAGTTAGTGGTTGTCCAATCAAGAACAAACCCCATTGTATTTGTATATATTTGATTATAATTGCATTGGTCAACAAAACAGAGTTAACAGGTTAACGAACCTGAGTGTAACGCCTCGGTGATACAAGACATATCACCAAACACCAAGCTCGGCCGCGTTGCACGTTACACTCTACTTATGAACAATTTCTAAAACGAGGTTAGTTATTGACAAACAAGTTGATGAAACAAGATTATCAGCAGTCTCGATGAAAGTCATTATTTCGTAAGTTCTGTGGACGGTACTAAGACGTTGTCAGCAAATGTAAATGAGTCAAATGCTGACTGATTATTTCATAGTAACTGTTAGTTTATTATTTACACACTGATTTGACGACGGTTTTTTCCGTTATTTCCCGATCATGGAGCACATGGCGAACGGTCGACAGGGGGTACTGACTCTTCCATGGCACCTGATACCACACCTGATGTTTTGAGGTTCGTGTGGTTTTTCTGTCTTATTTCAAAGGCGTCGGAACGGTGGGGGGCTCCCCACTTTTTTTGCAAATATATTTTGAGCTTGAATACTGTACTGTTCGTTATCTCAATTTGTTTCACTTTAATAATATCGAGTCAGTAAATAAATATCTAGCCGACATATGAAATATATGGTATTCAAATTCAAAAATCCATTCAAACGATACAATTTAGGAGCAGAGGAAATACGGACCTCTAATTCATCAAAGAAGGGATCAGTTGCCATGGAGAACCCTACAATTAGTATTAAAACACCCATCTACAAGGGTCATTCAAAAAGTTCGTAGACTTTCGTCATAACTTTTTTATTTAACGTCATATTATATCCAAATTTGGTAAAAATATTTTAACAACAGATTCAATTAAGTTGAGTAAAAAAATTATAATGTATCTTCATATTTATAAAAATTACCAAGGATTTAGAACAGCAAAAATGGAGTCACGGAGCACCGTCAAAATTGAGTAATTTACTAATTTTCACTTTATAGTATTTACAGCCATACCTCTAATAAATGGAGCTGAAACAAAATAAAACATACATGTTTAAATCAAGTATTGCTGTATTAAATAAAATGATATCAGGTTATGTAATATCTCGCTCCGTTTAAAAGATATCAGTTTCTAAATACATATGTACTTGATTGAAAAGGCAAAAAACCATGACGTTGGAGGACGTCACGGAGCAGCGAGTAGCAATAAGATTATACTTTATATTCGGGAAACTACTTTTACAAGCTTAAAAAATCCGTATTAACCAGGATCTGTATGAAAAAGATCTGTGTATTTGTATTAAATGGAAAATACAATTTCTGAGTGGTAGCGAGTTTGAATCGGACGATGGATTGTCTGCAAAGAAACAGGTTAAAGTTAAAAATATTGCCCAAAGAGTTAGGAACGTAATTTAACGTGATGTGTGCTTCACTGTTGCATAATTAATAGAGTCACATGGTAATTCAAGGAATTGAAAACACTGACAATTCAATTCAAGCGTATTTGTACAATTGTTACCAAACTAGATGTTAAGTGTTACGGATATGTTTTTTTGAATGGAGAAGACGCTACAAACCGTGTTTGAAATTTAAAAAATGAGTAATTTTGAGATACTTCCTCAACGTTCTTTTTGACGTTACAATGTTGGTTAACCGTGCTCCGTGATAACAAAAGATGTTGCTTTAAAATTTGGCTAACATACGTTCTATTCAAGCAAATGGAATAAAACTTCACACTTCGACAAAATAAATGTTTTTGTTTACGAAAATGTGTTGATCTATAATCTTGTAATAATTATATGACAATGAGAAACATTGTCTACGTATTTTTTGAATGACCCTCGTATAACCGTAGAACTTGCAAAATAAAATAATTTATCTTAACAAAGGAACCTAAATACATACTCAGAATCATGTACATTTTAAGGAAGAATTCAAATTCTGTAGCATCCGTATAATTTTTCATTGCTTTCAAAGAAAGATTTAACAGGTTAATTAAATTGTTTAGCCAGTAAAATTAACGAAAGAGACGTTATAAAAGTAGCGATGGTCTGACATACTTACTACCTAGCTTGTTCTAGAGAGGTCTATCATTATTCGACCTCAGTAAATAAGTCAAACACCCTCAGCCTGCCATATGTTATATCTGGTTTAAAGAAAGAGATATGGAACTGCCCAACTGTTCTCATGCAGGTTAGTCATAATTATGATTATGATTATGATATGATTGCGTCTTCAAGAGAGAGGACAATTAATAGATTAGACGGTAATTCAGTGGTAGAGCATCTGATTTGGGATGCAGCGGTCCCGGGATCGATTCCAGCTCCAGACATACATTTTCTCCTTTCAGGATATATTTGTATTCAACTTTGTCTTTCTGAAAGCATTTGATAGGATTGAAATAAGATTGTCCATAAATATATTTTATAAATTGATCCGTCTGTTATTTCAGTTCTCTCCCACTCCCATTGTTGTACAGACAGACCGCAGGGAGAGTGCTGATTTGGCCTGGATAATCGGAGTCCTCACCTGCTGTTGCTGTAATGTATTACTAGGAATAGGCGCCATTTACTGTGCAAGCGAGGTAAAACTTAAGATAGGTTTGCTTTTTGAACAGTGGCGGAGCATCCCATTGCATAGTAAATATTGAACAAGCTAATTCAGCGATCGTAACCCCGCTAAAGGAAAAAAAACATGTGCGAATCTAGGGAAGGGGGCTAGAAAGGCAAATTCTTTTTTATGTGTTACATGTATTAAAATAGCCCGATTTATATAAATGACAAATTTATGGCCTTATCAGAGATAAAATTGAAAATTTTGCTTCATGAATGTATATCAATCAAAGTACGTAGGTAGATCATTACAGCTCAATCCCGTCAAAAGTAATGAACAAGGTTACAATTTTGTGGACAAATAGCTAGACAGAGCGACCGACAATTAGACGGACGGACAGGACTTCGTTAACGGGGGCATAAAACTGGCTTCGATGCCGATGGATTTCTCACAGCGCCGCCCTATAGTACACAGTCATTGAGAATGGAAGTGAGATACACTTATTTGGGCAGTTTCATTCAAGAATCGTTACCGACATACAATCGCAATGAAATTAAAGGTTTTTTAAGTACATTTTACAACCAACAAATATTAAACTAACATGATTGCACTATATACGCGAAATATATGCATTTATAGAGTTTTGAGCTTTTCTGATCACATTTTGTTCGTCCGTCTGTAAACTTTTCACATTTTCGACTTCTTCCCAAGAACCACCGGGTTAATTTTGACCAAAGTTGGTACAAAGCATTCTAGGGTTAAAGGGAATTTAAATTGTTAAAATAAAGGGCCAAGTTTCCTCACAAGGGGAGATAATCGAGAAAAGACAAAAATAGGATGGGGTCATTAAAAAATCTTCTTCTCAAGAACAGCTGGGCCAGAAAAGCTGAAACTTATTAAGAAGCATCCTGGGGTAGTGTAGATTCTAAATTGTTCAAATCATGACCCCCAGGGGCTGGGCGGGGCCACAATGGGGAATCGATGTTTTACATAGAAATATATTGGAAAAATCTTCAAAAATCTTCATCTCAAGAACCACGGGGCCAGTTACGCTGAATCTTATCTGGAAGAATCCTGGGGTAGTGTAAATTCTGAATTGTTCAAATCA